TTTAAGGAGACAAACATCCGCAAACAACAAGCAAGATTTCGACCAGGTCGTGGTTGTATTGACCAGATCTTGACTCTGGCTGAATTCCTTGAACTGTGTCATGAAGAAATGCACAGAGCTACTACGTAGAGTAGAGTTCTGTCGTCTTCCGAATTGGAGTCCAGAAGGCTCCGTAACTGGATGATTGGGGACACTAAAGGTCTTGGCAGCAAACCGACAGAAGTGGCACTCGTGCTGTCACTTCTTATCAGTCAAATATGCGTGAAAACTTGTTTATGCACAGTAAGATTGTACTGTGTTGACCTAAGAGGTTCACCTTCCCGCTCAAAATAACCCCAATCCCTGTCCTTCTTACACATTCTCACTTACCTTGTATACATTGTGAGTTTGGCAGCGATCGGTTAAATTCGTTTCAATGTATTACGCGGTACGATCAGGATGACAATAATGAAACATTGCAGTGCTACACCTCCCTGGTTTACATGCCGGTTGCCGCTACCCACGCTGGAAATTACTGCACTATAAAGATATTCAGTGGAATTCACAATTTACGCAAGCAGTGCACCTTGCGAATTTTCGAGCAACTGAACGGCATTTTTTGATTTAGTTCCCTTAAATAATCACACTACCTCTGTGCATTTTATTCAGGCGAAGCTTACCTTCTTACTTTTTGACCAAAATAAATCGGGTAATCTTTTCAACATCGATATCACATAACGACGCCCCATTTTCACACACGTGAGTTTAGACTGCCAAGCAAATCGCAGTACAATAATCTTTATAAAAATAAATCGGGTCCATGGTTTGCCCCAAGGCGCGATACTGACAGGTTGCCCAGGTCAGAGCAGATGCGTTTTCCAAAGGAGTTCACAACCGGAGCATTCGGCTACTCAAACCCCCAAGGTGGCGGGGTGGTGCGTGAAAACCGCAATCCGTTGGGGGCCGATGCTCGGTTCATCTGCCCTTCGACGGGGTCAAACGTCTAAGGTGCCCAGTACACCTCTGTACCCTATCGAGCCGGTGACCACTGCCACGACCCTGGAGGTGTGGTTTGTACGCCTCTTCTTGGTTGGTTTGGAACCAAGGTTTTTAGCCCCCCCCCTAGGTGATCTGCCAGTGGTTCACCGACCCGGTTATAGCTCATATATTGGCTTTTCTTCCCCTCACTTGGATAAACATCGCCACTAGAAAGCAGTGAGTAGGGCTGCCTAAGTAAAAGCTATTTGAGACGCTTGGTCGTATTGGAACATCTCTTCAATGGCGAAGGACGGGTGACCAGCCGCAACCCGGGACACCCACATCTGACCATAATGAGACCTTCAGAGGCTAAGTGAAGTGCATTTTATAATGAATCCATCGTTACGGTACTAAGCAGGTTTAATTATCCATGCAGTTGTGGTGTCCTATCGGTTAAGAATAGGGTAAGTCACTGGTGCATTCATCGTGGGAGTAAACGACCGTCAAAAATCGCTCCAAAGAATTATGCGTCGAACGTCTCATGATGTGTGTATTCTCCGAAATATACCCAGCAAATGTCCATGTATCTAATTTCGGCGCTAATCCTGAGCTCATCCATCTCAAGCTTCCTATTTAAATTCTTCATTACCTATGTTTCTTTTGTTATTAGATCACTTAATGTCCCTGACGAAAACCAGAACAAGTTTAGAGTCAACGGTCGTATGAACTGAACGATGGACATGCCTACCGTCCTATTCGGTGGTATTGAGACATGCACGAGTATTCCTCATTAGATCCCCCCAGATGACCATTCCTAATTAAGGGTATCAAGTGCTCCACTCGCCCTGGCATTGGTCGAATCCCCCAACAGGTGCCCGCAGGTTAGAGGCAGACTTTACTTTCAGGTCTCGTCCCTACCATGATGTATTAATTCACAACGAGTAGGTTGTTTGTGGACTAATTTCCAGGATGAAACGACGTAAACCGATAATGTATATCGTATACATAAACTATCCTGAATGGCACGTTTAATTACTATGTGAATGATACCTCAGATGCAGACTGTTTGTTGAAGTTAGTGGGTGGTAATATCAAATGCGATGTTGTTCATCACAAGTGTCCGTCGGGAAAAGAGGACAACTTCCAATAACTAATCTCCATTGATCATCCCTTCTTGTCCAAAATGGTTTGATGAAATGTAGTAAAAATGCTCGCACATTTAAACGAGCAAATCATGGACCTTTTGTCTTTTTTTTACAAAGATTATTGTGCCGTGATTATTTGGTACACAATCTGACCTCGGGCATGTGTGAAAAAAGAATAAAAAATGAAAACAAACGAAATGTGACGAA